ATATTTTTATTTTGGCCAAGGATCTTTGGGAATGACGTGCTATCCATTTCTACTATATAGTGATAGGATTTGAGATGAAAACTAAATTTGTTAATGCCACGCTTCACAGCTAGGAGTTCTTTGTAAGCTATGTGATAATACTTTTTAGAGGGTTTGAATTCTCTACTAGTATAACCAAAATAGTGTCTTTTCCCATTTTCTTCTTCAATAAGTATTGCTCCCCAATAGTCATTACTTGCATTAATTTGTAAAATTCTTTATCCTTTATCAGGGATTCTTAGAGGTAGAAGACATTGGCAGATTTGCTTTAGATACTATATAGCTTTTGTCTACTTGATTCCCCAAGGTGGTAGATTTTTCTGTAATAGCTTAGATAATTGGCTAGTATGATTAGACACATGAGGAATAGTCTCTGATGTAATTTACAATTCCTAAGAACTAATGGAGTTGACTTTTAAATAGATTTTTATATGGAAAGTTCAATCATTCTTGAATAGTGTATGGACTGGGTTGGTAATATCTATCTTGGGTAATCTTTCCTATAAATTCTGTATGCGTTGTATCAATGTGACTTTTTTAGGATGAGAGCGTAATCCCATATTGTTGAATTATTTTAAAGAATTAGGTCAACAGGTCTTTATGTTCCTGCTTAATGTCTGAGAACAAGAGTATGTCAACAATATAAATTATGGTACTATTGATAATGGGCTCAAAGATATAGATCATGACCTTTTGAAATAATGATAGGTAGTTTTAAGCCTTTAGGCATGATTGTCCAATGGTATTGAGCATTAGGAATGCAGAAGGCTGTCTTATAATGATTTTCCAAATCAATTCCTAATTGCTAAAATCCTGCTTTGAGATCAAACTTAAAGAATGTCTCGGACCTCTTTAGATGGACTAGTTGAGTGCTGATCTTTAGAAGAGGAAATTTGTCATCCTACAAGAAAGCATTAAAAGGCTTATAACTAATCATTAGCCTCTTTTTTCCTCATTGTTTTTCTGATCTTTTCTCAACATAAAATGCTTGACAAGCCTAGTCTGACTTGGTTGGCTTAATAAGCCCTTATTTAAGCAAAGCTGCACATTCTTGTTATGCAAGAGCAAGGTCTTCTGGATTCATTCTAGTATGAGATGCTTTTATGGTATTGATATCTTTATTCCTTTTAAATAGTAGTTTGAAGAAAAACTCTTGATTCTTCTATAAAGGAAATGGATGTTAAAATTGATCATGACTTTCATAGCAGAATTAGAGGAGTTGATCCTAAATTTGTTCATAGCCTAAAGGAGCTTGTTGAATTTCAAAGATACTTGAGATATTAGTATACTTGCTAAAGAACTGTTTAAACCTCATTCCATTAAGAAGGACTTGTAAATTCCTTGTTTGTCGATAAATATCAAAACTAATAAGAATATCTTTAGTAGGTAAATCATTCCTAAGGAGCTTTTTTCAAACAACACATCTAGGGAAAAACCTTATAGCAATCTTTCTTTTGGTAATAAGATCTATCTTGAAGGGTTTTCTATAAGCTGTAGCAAAATACTATTCATACAGGAGCCATTCTTCTTCATAAAGTATATAAGGTCTTATGACATTTCTATAGGAACTAATGTCAATGAAAGCAATGGTTGAGATAGGGTCATATTTGCTGTGAAGAATTTAAACTTTTATATTGGGTTGAGGAGGTTTATTTGAATAAGGCTAGCTACAAGAATTTATTAGTCTAAAGGAACATGGATTGTGAAGGGTCATTAGTTCAAAGAGGGAACCAATAATATAGAGTGGTGGATATCGCTCATAATCAAAGTTAGAGTTTTCTTCTAATACATGCAAAACATACTGAGTGTCTTCATTTCTTTCAAATTATTTTTTAAAGACAGATTTAATATCTTGATCGTCATTAAGAGGAATAATAATTTCAAAGGACTGAAGTACCTTCATGTCTTTCTTGTATTTATTTGGACACCTTTTTACAAAATGCCTATTTTGCCCACAAATAAAGCACGTGTCTAACCTTTTCAACTTTGAAGTCCTTTTTATAAAGTAATGCAGAAAAGCTCTCTCTTTTTTTCTATTAAGGGGTTTACACTTGCATGAACATGATTCTTCTTCTTGCAAGAATAACATTTATGGTCCTTGCATTAAATATTTACATAAGGCTTCTTACAGGATGATTGAAGCTTTGAATTTCCCTTAAGCATAGGCTTGAAAAAATTTTGTTGTTCACAAAGTTTGTCTAGAGTAGAAAGGGCTAGCTGATAAATTTCTTCAAGAGAGATTTGGGACTTATCTCTCTATAAGCCATTAATAGCTCCATGCTTAATAGATATTTACTAAAAATTCTTCTATAAATAGTTTTTTATCTAACAAGAAACACTTCATTTTAAATAACTCTTGTCTATTCCTTTTGTCAATAAGATTGAAATCTCTAAAGAACAATGCTACATTAGGAAGTTATGGTACTTAGATCTTTTGATACTCTTTGAGATTTTGAAACCATTCTCTTAGGTTTCCAGTCATTCCCAAGAGAAATTCTAGAGGTACTTCTCTTATAGTCACATTTGGCCTTGTCATTTATAAGTCAATCCACACACCAAACTCATGAAGTCTTTCCCTCCATTTATGTAGAGGTAGGTCATCAAAGGTAAACCATAGTCTAGAGGATGGTATGGAGTTATGAGTATTTAGTCTAGTTAGATTGTCTTAGACTCTAAATCATCTTTAAGGTCTTCCATAATTGGTTTTGGATAAGGCTGAACCATAACAATCTTGGTTATATCAACTAAATGCTGGTCATCCTCAGAATTTGTGTTTTCATATGACAATTTAGTTGAAACAACTAAATCTATATAGGCCTGTTCAAAAATAGCTTTTCTAATAGAAGCAATGGTTCTTAAGGGATTTAGACCTACTATGCCTTTGGCTTTTTTAATGTAAGGGGGTGGTTTTTATTTATGGGGTGAAGAAGGAGGTGTTGAGATTATCAAAGGTTTTTTTAGTGGTTTGGTGAAGGATGGTGAGGTTTGATATTCTTAAGACTTATGATAAACGGGTTTCTAGATATGTGGTAGTTGTGGTAGTTGTTCTAAATATAGAGGAGATGGTTTTCAAACTAGATTTTTCTAGGCTTGTCTGAGAATAGGGTAACACATCTTAAAGATCTTACTAATGGGATAGGTAGGGTGCATAGAGGTATATGACATAAAATGGTTCTGGACTGGTCTTTAGCTAGATCTGTTTCTATTTGTTGTAATTATTTTTGTATCTTAGAAATTTTCTTTCTTTTCTTATGGAATTAGAACAAAAATATTTTTCAACAATATTTCTCCTGAGATCTGCATCCAGTTGTTGCTCTTTTTTACAAAGTCTTGTATACAAGCTTTTTACATGCTCATCCATCCGATTCACTTGTAAGAACAAAGCATCTATTTTGCTTGCAAGATGGTCGAGCTTAGAATCATTGTTGTGTACGACTCTATTTTGACTGACAGCATTTTTAAATAGCTAGTTAAGAACTTCTATCGATGAAATAGGCTTAATAGTCCTTTGAAGGGATACTTCAGTTGCTGGTACAAAAGGTTTATTGGTAACTTTAGTTCTTTTATCAATCATGTGTTCTAAAGGAAGAAAATCTTCCTCATAAGCAAGAAAGGTGGAATCACTAGTCCAAGTTTCTCCAACAGAAGATCTTCATATCCAAGTTCCTTAAGAAGCTTAAAAAGAGTGCTTCTTTTAGCAGGAAGATTTAGAATTCCTACCTATCTTCTTTTGGTTTGCTTTAGGCCATGGTCATCATTATTATCATCCTAAGAAGGACACTTGTGTCTACAAAGGAATCTAAGCTTCTTAGGTTTATTAGAAATCCTTTGAGTTCTACATTAGTCATCATCACTATAAGAGTTATTTTAAAAGTAACAATCACAACCTGGAACACACATTATTAAGGCATAATGCTAAATAAAGTGACCATTAATATAGGAAACATAGACTGGCTTAGCTTCTTGTGTGAACCACTCAACAAGAGGGTTCTTTTTATGTTGAATATATGCGGGTGCAATTATCAAGATTTTGCTTGAGGTTTAAGCTAGATCTTGAGATCTAGGTCTCTTGAAAACTAACTTGATCGTGTCATCTCCCAGTTTATAAAGAATAGGGGATTCTGTTGTATCAACATCATTTTTATCAACATGGAATTCTTTTTTGTACTTGTTAATCCATTATAATGGCATCAATTGAGTAAGTTATTCTTGAATTAGATGTCTTAGGATATGAACTATCGAAGCTTCACTAGGACTTTCAGCATTCATAAACAAAGCATCCCTTGTCAAGTTAGGGAAGTAAAAATCAAGTGAATGATCCAATAGTCTGTAAATAATCTGGTGATAAAGAGTGGCCATTGTAACATCCTCAAATTTTAAAATTTAGATTTTAAAGGTGTAAATGAGGGGGAATTAGTAAATCTTGAGTGATTATTGAATTAATAGTGTTTTAGACCTCTAATAAGGTTGATGGGCATTTAGACAGCTTTAGAAGTGGACTAATTTAGTTTTCAAGTAGACCAAGCATCAAGTAAGGCCCAAAATTCATTTTGGCCTTACTGTGCCATGTATCACAGTAAACGCACCATGCACTATGATGGATGTGTAAAAATTTGATTTAATCAAATGCTCGCATACATTAGAAACAAAGGAAGAAAGAATTGAGAATGAGGAGGGTGATAGAAGAGAACCTTTTCTTTGCTAAGGCTTCATCTTTTCGGCTTTTTGGAGGCATTTTAAGCTAACACCTTAGGGTAAGCCTCCTATTGATTCTCCTTCCTCTTTATATGAATTTGTAGTAAGTCTGGGTAGGATTGGGTTTTTTTAATGTAATGACCCGAAAAAATAATAATAATAAATACTAATAATAAAATAAAATTAATTAATTAAATTATTAAAAGGTGTTTAAAGTTTATTTTTATTTTTATTACTTTTAGAGCAAATGCATCAAGGGGAAATTGAGGCTTAGTGGACTTTATGTAAATTACATTATTGATGGGTCTTAAATTTGAATTTTCATGGGGCCAAGAGTGGGATTTTATCTTTTAGCTTTAACTTAAGGGAAATTACGAAAATGCCCTTCTGTTCAATTAAATAAATAAAGGGAGAAAGAAATGAGGAGCAGAGCACGTTTTTTTTCTCTCATTTGGGATCAGATTCAAGAACCATCGAGAGAGAGAGAGAGAGAGAGAGAGTCAGAGATCAGCTGAATTGAGGATCACTTCGTCGTCTCTGTCTTCTTCCTCCTCCTTCGTCGTCTTCAACGTCGCCGGTGGTGTGTGCGTTGCTGCCGTCCGCCCAGCCTGTGGTAGCTTCTTTCTCCTCTGTTTCTCGTTATCGAGCTCTCGTCCTTTCTTCTCCATTCTGTCCTATCGAAGGTGGTAAGCATGTTAAACGCTGGGCTGTTGTTGGAGATCCGACAAAGTTGCTGCTGTTCTGGGGATCGTGGAAGCTACCGATCTCTTCTCCTCCTCATTTACGTGCCATCGTTCGAGTTCTTTTTCTGTTCAGTATGCTAATTCTTCTTCCTTATTGCTCTGTTCATCCCTTTGAGACCTTGCTTCCTTGCTTTGTCACGTTGAGTGAGGTGAGATGCTTTAATCCTTCTTATGATTTTGCTGTGGCTGTGATATTCCTTGCCCTGTTCTGCCGTGAGAGTAGTGGAGGGGGGAATTTATTTAATTTATTAATTTATTAAATAATTTATTTATTTTTCTTTCTTTTAGTTAAGATCGATTTGAGGGAATGGAATTTAGGAAGCTGATTATTTATATATTTATGTTAAAGAAGTTGTTGAGAAGATAAAATCAAAGAGGAAGAAGTTGGTTTGAGTTGAAGTATGAAGGCACAAAAGGTGCTTGACAAAACGATTGTTAGGAGGAGTTTGCTTAATTTTGTATTTTTCTAAAAGTTCATTAATCCTTGTGAAAAACATGTTTAGTTTAGGTGTTATTGATTCGTGAATTTAATTTGTAGGTTGCAAATTAAAAGAATTTGATTATAAATTCATATGTAACTAGTTAAACTCCTGAGGATAGTATGGTTATGGATAAATTGTTGGATAAAGGCTGGAAGATTAGGAAAAATCTTAATTGCATGGTTGGAATAATGCACCTAAAGTGTTTGATGCAAAGATTTAGAGAAAATTTTATCTCAAGTAAATAGGTTGGTATGGCTAAAGTATTATAGAGGAAATTAATGACATGAATGATAATGCTTTGACATTGTTAATCGTAAATTTAATTGGGTTTTATCATAGGAGTTTGTGTAGGAAGTTATTAATATCTTATCTGAGCTTTAGATTATTGGGGGTAATAAAGTTAGAAATTTATAAAGTATATTATCGCTTTAAAAAGGCATACTTAGATGCTTGAAAAAAAAAAGGTTGGGACAAGATAATTAAAAGTTACACGTTTTATCAAATGGGTTGGAATGCTGCACATTAGATGTTTAGTAAAAAGCCTAAGAAGAAACCTTTATGTGTAATTTTGTTACTGAAACTTAAAGTTTTATTAATAATTCTGGTTGAGTGAATTCTCACAAAGAAAGACTTGTTGGGTCAAAAGTAAAGTGCATTAAGATCTTATTATTTATTATAGGGTGATTGTGAGACGGGTAGCTCGATTGGAGTTTTAAGAAGTGAGTTTTGAACTTTGAAAGCACTACAGGTAAGTGGATAGCGTCCCAACTGATATTTCATTAAAATCTCTTTTATTCAAATATTATATTTTTATGCAAATTCTTTTTACGACAACAATGTGATTATGAGATATTTTATTGACTAAATTATATTATTTCGTGAAATTATTTCATCAGAATTAATCATTTTAGTTAATCAGTAAATGCAAGTTTGAATTCTAAATGTGGGATTTCAATTTGGAAATTATTGAATTGTTACGGAAAAATGATTCATGCGAGTTCGACATTGAAAAGGAAAATTTGATGGAATGGTGATCAATTTCTCGCATGTTTGAAAATGGTTTTAAAAAAAAAAAGGGACTTTATACGGAACACTGGTTGCTAACGGCAGTTTCGTTAGCCCTTGGCGCGCCATGGTACACCTAGCTAGCAGGGTGTTTATAGGAGGTGCTAGCCCCGTGCGATGGCCAACGCACGTGGAACGGAGGGATGGTTATTCGTGAGCATAGTACTCACGTTTGTTTCGTGGCTTCAAGTCGCGTTTGGTTAGAATACCCTCGTGGACTGTGTGTCCACGTCTGTTTCGTGGCTTCGGCTGCGTTTGGTTATTTACCCTCGTGGATTGTGTGTCCACGTTTGTATTCGTGGCATAAGCCGCGTTCGGTTATTTATCTTCGTGGACTGTGTGTCCACGTTTGTTTACTGTTCTAATAAGTCCCTAAAAATTTGTGAATTTGACTATTTGGTGATTTTATATTTCACTGGTTTTTATCTAGTAAATTATTTATAACCATTTATTTCATTTATGTGCTTTCTGAAAATCAAGTGATAAAAATATTTGTTATGATATTTCGATGGTTTAAGATTTTATTTAAAATTTTATAGAGTTATTTTATTTTGAAGTTTATTAAATTTTTATGGAAATTGTTGTCTATTTAACTTACATGATTATTTCAAACTTTTCTCTTTATTCATGTTAAATTATTTATTGTTGGGACGTTATTCACTGGAAAATTATTTTGGTCTCAGATAGCATAACTGACGCTGTACATCTTGCTTACTAATGATGGTTGTTTGCGGAACAGAATGAAGGTTGGTTCTATAAATATGTTTTATTGATGTAAACATGAAATTTATGTATTATGTCATGAAATATATGATTAGATGCTCCACATAACTTATAAATTAGAGTCCTTAGTTTATTATACATTTTTCTGCTGACTGGAAAGAGCTGAGCTCCTAATTGATACAATGTTTAAGGAAATTTTTTTTTTGTGATACAGAATTTAGGAGATCTTATTCACAGAGGAGGTTTTGTCAAAATTTTTACAAAATGTTGAACTAATTATTATAATGATTATTATAAATAAAATTAAAAAGGTCAGTGTAAAGTTGAGTACATTTTAGTCAAATGAAATAAAACTTGAATTTGTGGCTTACAGGATGTGTGATGTTGTTCACATCCTGTGCCAGTCACACCCTATTTTTGGGGGCGTGACAGTTTGGTATCAGAGCCTAGGTTTCTTATGGTTATGTGGAGCAAGGACTTTTCAGTGATGTCTCAATTATCATTATGAACCCGGGCATAATTATAATTGAGGCATCATTGAAGGCCTTATAGAAGATCTTTGAATGTCGTTTTGTTCCCTATTGTTGACTTCTCTTAATATTGTCTTGTATCTTTAGCCTAACATTTTCTTTGTCCTTTGGCATAGTGAGAAATGTTTTTTTTATGTTGAATATCAAGTAGAAGTATTTAAAGCTAGAGAGTTTCTTATAAAGCATGAACTGACCCTAGTGCTATGACTTTATTTTTGCTAGGCTTAACAATTTTTGTGTGGTTATCTTAAAGAGAAAGTATAATCAAGGTCATTAGTGTCATAGGGGCATAACCGAAATGGTAAAATTCTGAGACTCTTAATAGAGGCTTGTTCTCAAACTGCAGAAGGATCCCTCTTCTATTTTAATGAAAAAAAATAATATAAATATATATTTATATTCTAGTTATTATAAGAGGAATGAAAGGAATTTAAGTTCTGTTCTATGATTATAAATTAATATGCTAATAATTGGAGCTTAGAAACTTTTGTGACTCTATACAAATGGTTAAAGGTTATTTATTGATTTGTATTTTGAGAACCATAAATTAGTTTATAATTGAGATTTTGGGTTGCATACCAAATGTCTGATGAAATAAATGAGAGATGAATTTATAGTCTATTGAGATAACCTAGTGTGATAAAGGTATCATTGCATACCTTATAAAATAATAGTTAACTATTTTCCATGATGAAGTTAGGGAAATTAAAGAATTTGCTTAAGGACATATAGATATAGGCTGGAAAGTGTTAATGAAAGATCATGAAGATTGTTGATTTAATTTCGGTCATGAATCGCATTAAGAAAAGGAGAAGGAGAAGAAGAAGAAAGAAGTCATTGTGTTTAATGAAGATGATAATTATTTTGATTTGAAAGTGTTATTGGAATGATAAGTGTAGGATGGGAAATGGTATACGGTTTAAATATAGTATATATATATAAAGAATTGTTGAAGAGCCTTAATAATAAATTACTTGCTCTTTAACAAGGGAAGAAGGTATGAGTGATATGAAAATGGAGAGAACTTTAATATATCAAGACAGGATATTGGATGGGTGAATATTTGTTGGTAATTAATTGAGCCATCATTAGATGGATGAGGGATTTATGAGTGAAACCCCAAGTGATCATGAGAAATTTGAATTAATGTTAAAAAAAAAAAAGAAGAAGGTAGGGGCTAATTTGGTTAGTGTGAATTATATATGATTAAGTGTTTGTTAATGCCATTCAAGTAATTATTTTGAGTTATAATGTAATCTTAAACAGGGAACTAGATTTAATGATATGGGCATATTTAGAAATTTGTTATGATAAAAAAAAAATATATTTCAAGAGAAAGTCCAAGTATCTTAGCCTTCAAAAAAAAAAAATAGAACTAAATTACTAGTAAACATATGTTGCACTTAAGGGCCTAAATATTGAGTTTGGAGTATAAGATATTTAGAAGTTTCGTTCATCCAGATATGGTAATTTTCAGAGCTTTATAGAATATTTTATAAATTTTTGAACTTAGTTTGAAAAACTATCATGGAATACCTCTGCAGCTTTTGCATCAAATCTAGTATTTTTATTTTCTAGACTAAATGAACTCCATTGACTTTGAACTTTTAACAAATGATAGGGAATTGAAATGATGTCTAGTAGTGAGTGGTGGAAATAGAGCAACTGAGTAAAAATCATAAAAGATATGTGAGTAAGAGCAAGAGTTGTAATGTTTTTGAAATTAAATGAACACGATGTGTAGGTTATTGTATGCTGAGTTCATGATGGAATATAGTGATGGGTTTTAGATGTATTTAAGAAGTTTAGAACACCAATATTATTTATGCTAGATATCAAAACTTACTTGAAGAGTAGTATCTGCATGCAGGTTATTGATAGTGATGGAAAGTATAGTGATTTTTAAATTTTCTATTAATTGAAGGGAGTATTTAAATGTAGTAGTAGTACGTATGTCTTAAGTGGGGGATGTGCTAAAGGAGAAAGTTTGACCTATTGAAGGGATGATGTGAGGAATGGTATGGTAATGAATTTTTTATATACATGGCTATGGTAAAAAAAAAAAAAAACCGTGCAAGAGGCCAAAATTAGGTTATGTCGGAAGCCATAAAGCTTCTATATTCAGTGGGTGGTTTATCATAGAAAGTAGTATCAAAATGATCCCTCGAAGCCATTTAGACTAGGCAGTCGGTACAACAATTGGTTTCTCTGTAGACATGATCAAAGGAGATTTCCTAATTTCACATAGAGTTAAAGAGGGTGGCTTTGCTCAAAGTTAGTTTCAATAAGGGAAAGAGCCTCCATAGAATTAGACCAAACATTTACTTTGATAATCTTAGCATTCCAGCATATATTTAAGTCCTTCTAAAATTCTTATAAGCTTGGCCGTAGTGGCGGATTGATAACCAAGATTCTTAGTAAATCCTCTAATCTAGTTCCCCTGGTTGTCTCTGATAAGTCCTTCACAAGAAGCTGCTCCATTATGTTTGACTAAACCATGAACGTCAAGTTTAAACTATCCAATTTTTTTTTTTTGTGTGGATACCATTTAGCTTCATATCTGGAGTCGGTTCTATTTAAAGAATCAACTTTAGCTTGGAGCTTCATGTCTAATTCATGTTACTTGGATTGTACACAAGTTAAAGAAGTATCCTAGAAATTGGTTTAATTGCATCAATAATTAAAAGAGTGTGTAGAGTTGTATGGAGTTCCATTATCTTAGTTATGAATCTAGAAGTGTAAACCTTTCAAGAAGTTTTGGGTGAAGAATAATTGAAATTTTAGACCTCATACTCATCTATTATATTTATGGTTGTTGGTGGAAGTTGAAACTACTTTGGATTTTAGGAGTTGTAAAAAAAAAAATGAAATGAAAAATGAAAATGAAAAAATAAAATTTGTTACAAGACTACTATTATAAAGGTAGAGGAAATTGAATCAAGGTTGCTAATAGCTCAAACTGGTAGAAATTTTATGCTAGTAATCGTTGTCAATAATTACGATTTATAGTCGGGGACAAGTATTTCTTAAGGTGTCTTCTATGAAAGGTTTAATGAAATTCAAGGAAGAAAGCAAGTTGAGTTTAATATATATTGCTATGTTTGAAATCTTAAGATGAGCTGGTGATATATATATATATATATATATATCAAGCATTCATTTAAAGTTTTAGATGTTGAGGCTTTTGAAAATATTTGTGTGATTCTTCTCATGTGATTAAGACTCAAGGAATTTAGACAAACTTAGATTTAACATATAAAGAGGTTCTTATTATTATTTTATATATAAATAAGTATATGCATTCATTGTGGAATTGAAATGAAATTCGGAGGACCGAATTTCTAAAGGGGGGAAGAATGTAATGACCCGAAAAAAATAATAATAATAAATACTAATAATAAAATAAAATTAATTAATTAAATTATTAAAAGGTGTTTAAAGTTTATTTTTATTTTTATTACTTTTAGAGCAAATGCATCAAGGGGAAATTGAGGCTTAGTGGACTTTATGTAAATTACATTATTGATGGGTCTTAAATTTGAATTTTCATGGGGCCAAGAGTGGGATTTTATCTTTTAGCTTTAACTTAAGGGAAATTACGAAAATGCCCTTCTGTTCAATTAAATAAATAAAGGGAGAAAGAAATGAGGAGCAGAGCACGTTTTTTTTCTCTCATTTGGGATCAGATTCAAGAACCATCGAGAGAGAGAGAGAGAGAGAGAGAGAGTCAGAGATCAGCTGAATTGAGGATCACTTCGTCGTCTCTGTCTTCTTCCTCCTCCTTCGTCGTCTTCAACGTCGCCGGTGGTGTGTGCGTTGCTGCCGTCCGCCCAGCCTGTGGTAGCTTCTTTCTCCTCTGTTTCTCGTTATCGAGCTCTCGTCCTTTCTTCTCCATTCTGTCCTATCGAAGGTGGTAAGCATGTTAAACGCTGGGCTGTTGTTGGAGATCCGACAAAGTTGCTGCTGTTCTGGGGATCGTGGAAGCTACCGATCTCTTCTCCTCCTCATTTACGTGCCATCGTTCGAGTTCTTTTTCTGTTCAGTATGCTAATTCTTCTTCCTTATTGCTCTGTTCATCCCTTTGAGACCTTGCTTCCTTGCTTTGTCACGTTGAGTGAGGTGAGATGCTTTAATCCTTCTTATGATTTTGCTGTGGCTGTGATATTCCTTGCCCTGTTCTGCCGTGAGAGTAGTGGAGGGGGGGAATTTATTTAATTTATTAATTTATTAAATAATTTATTTATTTTTCTTTCTTTTAGTTAAGATCGATTTGAGGGAATGGAATTTAGGAAGCTGATTATTTATATATTTATGTTAAAGAAGTTGTTGAGAAGATAAAATCAAAGAGGAAGAAGTTGGTTTGAGTTGAAGTATGAAGGCACAAAAGGTGCTTGACAAAACGATTGTTAGGAGGAGTTTGCTTAATTTTGTATTTTTCTAAAAGTTCATTAATCCTTGTGAAAAACATGTTTAGTTTAGGTGTTATTGATTTATGAATTTAACTTGTAGGTTGCAAATTAAAAGAATTTGATTATAAATTCATATGTAACTAGTTAAACTCCTGAGGATAGTATGGTTATGGATAAATTGTTGGATAAAGGCTGGAAGATTAGGAAAAATCTTAATTGCATGGTTGGAATAATGCACCTAAAGTGTTTGATGCAAAGATTTAGAGAAAATTTTATCTCAAGTAAATAGGTTGGTATGGCTAAAGTATTATAGAGGAAATTAATGACATGAATGATAATGCTTTGACATTGTTAATCGTAAATTTAATTGGGTTTTATCATAGGAGTTTGTGTAGGAAGTTATTAATATCTTATCTGAGCTTTAGATTATTGGGGGTAATAAAGTTAGAAATTTATAAAGTATATTATCGCTTTAAAAAGGCATACTTAGATGCTTGAAAAAAAAAAAGGTTGGGACAAGATAATTAAAAGTTACACGTTTTATCAAATGGGTTGGAATGCTGCACATTAGATGTTTAGTAAAAAGCCTAAGAAGAAACCTTTATGTGTAATTTTGTTACTGAAACTTAAAGTTTTATTAATAATTCTGGTTGAGTGAATTCTCACAAAGAAAGACTTGTTGGGTCAAAAGTAAAGTGCATTAAGATCTTATTATTTATTATAGGGTGATTGTGAGACGGGTAGCTCGATTGGAGTTTTAAGAAGTGAGTTTTGAACTTTGAAAGCACTACAGGTAAGTGGATAGCGTCCCAACTGATATTTCATTAAAATCTCTTTTATTCAAATATTATATTTTTATGCAAATTCTTTTTACGACAACAATGTGATTATGAGATATTTTATTGACTAAATTATATTATTTCGTGAAATTATTTCATCAGAATTAATCATTTTAGTTAATCAGTAAATGCAAGTTTGAATTCTAAATGTGGGATTTCAATTTGGAAATTATTGAATTGTTACGGAAAAATGATTCATGCGAGTTCGACATTGAAAAGGAAAATTTGATGGAATGGTGATTAATTTCTCGCATGTTTGAAAATGGTTTTAAAAAAAAAAAGGGACTTTATACGGAACACTGGTTGCTAACGGCAGTTTCGTTAGCCCTTGGCGCGCCATGGTACACCTAGCTAGCAGGGTGTTTATAGGAGGTGCTAGCCCCGTGCGATGGCCAACGCACGTGGAACGGAGGGATGGTTATTCGTGAGCATAGTACTCACGTTTGTTTCGTGGCTTCAAGTCGCGTTTGGTTAGAATACCCTCGTGGACTGTGTGTCCACGTCTGTTTCGTGGCTTCGGCTGCGTTTGGTTATTTATCCTCGTGGATTGTGTGTCCACGTTTGTATTCGTGGCATAAGCCGCGTTCGGTTATTTATCTTCGTGGACTGTGTGTCCACGTTTGTTTACTGTTCTAATAAGTCCTTAAAAATTTGTGAATTTGACTATTTGGTGATTTTATATTTCACTGGTTTTTATCTAGTAAATTATTTATAACCATTTATTTCATTTATGTGCTTTCTGAAAATCAAGTGATAAAAACATTTGTTATGATATTTCGATGGTTTAAGATTTTATTTAAAAATTTTATAGAGTTATTTTATTTTGAAGTTTATTAAATTTTTATGGAAATTGTTGTCTATTTAACTTACATGATTATTTTAAACTTTTCTCTTTATTCATGTTAAATTATTTATTGTTGGGACGTTATTCACTGGAAAATTATTTTGGTCTCAGATAGCATAACTGACGCTGTACATCTTGCTTACTAATGATGGTTGTTTGCGGAACAGAATGGAGGTTGGTTCTATAAATATGTTTTATTGATGTAAACATGAAATTTATGTATTATGTCATGACATATATGATTAGATGCTCCACATAACTTATAAATTAGAGTCCTTAGTTTATTATACATTTTTTCTGCTGACTGGAAAGAGCTGAGCTCCTAATTGATACAATGTTTAAGGAAATTTTTTTTTTGTGATACAGAATTTAGGAGATCTTATTCACAGAGGAGGTTTTGTCAAAATTTTTACAAAATGTTGAACTAATTATTATAATGATTATTATAAATAAAATTAAAAAGGTCAGTGTAAAGTTGAGTACATTTTAGTCAAATGAAATAAAACTTGAATTTGTGGCTTACAGGATGTGTGATGTTGTTCACATCCTGTGCCAGTCACACCCTATTTTTGGGGGCGTGACATTTTTAGTCCTCTCTTATGTTAGAACCGAATCCATTATGTTCTTTGGGTCCATAGAGAGTTAAATTAAGCTTCTAAAACTAGGTTTGATGATCTTATAGTGATTTAGAATTTAAAGTTATGGTTTAGATGAACTCTAGACTTAAATTTGAGCATTGGGAAAATGTGGGTGAAAATTTAATGTTATCTAAGCTTATGAATGTTAAATAGGAATAATGAAATATATTAGGAGTGCCTAAATTTAGGCTAAAAGAGAGATTATTGGAGTGTTTAATCTATTGAACTAAGTGTTTTGATGATAACAAAACAAAGAGAAAGGTGTGTATTACTTGTGTAAAATGAATATCAAGATTCAAGCAACAAACCATCAAGAAAGGGAAATTTAAGTAAAATCATCATATGTTGTACTAAAAGACAAGGAAGGATGAAGAAAAAGGAAAATGAAGAAGTATCACATGCATGCTAAAGAGAATGAAGAATCAAGAGTAAGTATGAAGAATTCTAGATTGTAACAGCTTTATTTTTCTAGATAAATCTTATGAAAAACAAATTGAGAGCTATATACATGAATTAAAGTAAGAATGCAGCATGTGAAAAGTTATAGGCTTACAAGTGCTTAATGTTAATTTATTTGATTCAGGCTTGGACATAAGAATGTCTACCCTTGATTATCTTACAAGTGCTTAATGTTAATTTATTTGATTCAGGCTTGGACATAAGAATGTCTACCCTTGATTATCACGCATATGAATGCACCTTTGCTTCACAATGCATCATTCACGCTTGAATTGTAAGTGTCCCATGCGTGATTGACTATATTCTTATGCATATAGGATGTAGAGGATTTCATTCAAGCTTAGATCATAATTGAACATTGCTTGAATTAGAGAGTCAGAACACTACACCAAAATAGTGATTTTCTTACTGCATATTTCTATGAGAAAATACCCAAAATTCCATGAGAACATTATTTCTCACATAATTTCTCATGCCTAAAGGTCCGTCACTAAAATAGTCGAAGGAAAGAAAATATTTCACATGAACAAAACTGTGAGAACCATTTCTCACGCCATTATTTGTAGGAAGTTCTTATGGCCTTTGAAACCGTGAGACATTCTTAAGAAATGGTTTTGAAAGAAATTCTTTCAATATAAATATGAGACAATTTCTCACACATAAATGGCATGAGAATTTCTCTCATATTGCTATGCTGTGAGAATTTCCTATAATCATTTTCTGTGAGAAATTCTCACATACAACAAATCTGAGAGAATTTCTTTTGAAATATTTTTTAGAAAAATTCGTTAGTCTCTCATAATAATGTATTGTGAGAAATGCTAAACTAATGCCATTTTACCTACCACCTTACATCATGTCAGTTGCAACGTATGCATCAATTAATCTCATTTCACATAACACCTCACACTACATCAGGCACCACATGTGCATCTAGCTCATGCCACGTCACCTGCCACCTAGCACCATGTCACTCACCATGTGTGGGTCAGTTATACTATGTCATCTACCACGTCACCTCCTCATATACCATATGTCACTTGGCACCTCATGCCACATCACCTCTTCATGCCATACTATTTATTTGTAGCAAAATATGCCAATGTCAGGACTTAAACCCTTGACCTTTCACCTTCCAAGTCTTGTGCCTTCCTTTTTCGCCAGTTGAACTAAAACATGCTTGCAATCATCATATACAAAATTAAATACATATTAACTTCATACACATATATTAAATAATATACTACTCAATGCATATATTTTATTTTATTTTTAATTAATAATATCATAAAATAATTTATATTACTATTATATTATATTTTTAATAAAATATTATTTTTTATTAAATATTATTTCTGTTACGAAAATGAACTTAAAAGAAACAAATTTTAAATATTAAATAATTTCTTATAAATATTTAACCAATTTATAATTTTATTTTTATTTTTTAAATTAAAATAATTAAATATATAATTTATTTATAATATGTATTATATTAGTTTATGTTAGTGACCCAAACAAAGTCTATGTTATATATAGTTTATTTTTATTTCCCCATATATTTCTCAAAATCCAATAAATGAATTATTAAAGTTTTATCTTCTTCCAAAATAATTAAATGTTTTCCTTCCTTTCTTAAAAATAAATTTTATCCACAATTTTTCAATTATCTGAAAAATTATTTTAATAAAAAATTAATTTTAATCATATAAATTTTGTTAATAATAATCATTTTTAAAAAAATTATTTTAATGAATATCAATAGCTCACAAGACAAAATAATTATAGGGTATGATATGTGATTAATTTAGATAGCATCTAATCATTGCCTATCTCAAAACAATAAGCCAAAAAAAATCAGGGCCAAGCATAAATAGCCAAAAAAATTTATCATTAATAAACTAAAATTCAAATATTAATTTTTTAAAAAAGTTGAAATTGACTAAAAAATAAAAATAAAATAAAATAATATTTAATAATTTGGTTATTTGGTTCAACCCAAAAGCACAAGTTGTTAGGACTAAATTTGGCTATATGATTTTTTTTTTTTACAAAGCTAATGAGTACCCAAACATTATGGTTTTCTTAAGGATACTAGAAGTTTCTGGAGAAAAAGTTTCTCAATATTTTTGTACTTTGTAAAAAAAAAATGCACTTAAATAACTTTCTCACATCCATTATCAATGAGAATTTCTCACACTTAATAATACAGTGAGAAATTACTAGGTAGGAATTTGAGATAGATTCTCTTGACATATAAATTGTGAGAAAAATTTATATTTACTTTATTTTATTATATCAATTATTTATTTATTTTATTTGTAATAAAAATAAAATATTTCTATGCTTAAAAATGTAGATAAAAAGAGGTTTGATTTTGGACAAAATCAATATTATTTGAATATTTTTTAATTAGCTAGTCACAAATTTCATATAAAATAAAAAAATATACACTTAAATCCTTTTGTCATAAAACTATAGTTAATTCATATTATTTAACAAAATTATTGAAAAAAACATGCTTAAATAAATTTCTCACAATGATTATCAATGAGAATTTCTCACCACTAATAAACTTTGAGAAATATTCAAGATAATAATTTCTCACAGGTAAAAATTTGAAATAAGTTCTCTTGATATATTATCTGTGAAAATACTTGAAAGGAATAACTTGAAAAATTTTCTCATGGACAATGGGTCGAAAGAAGTTCTCATTGTTAAGCTAACTGTGAGAAACATTTGCTCAAAAGAATTTCTCACATAAACTATTTGAAGGTAATTTCTCATGGTGTAAAATCCATGAGAATTACTTATAGGCACAAATTTTGTGAGAATTTATCATGGAGAAAAAGCATAGGAACTCTATCATCTATAGATATTTCTCATGGGCACAAAATCCATAAGAATTTCTTTACATATATTGTTCGTGAGAAGTTGTTTTTATTATATTGTGACATATTCTTTTAGTTTTCTCATGATTAACAATGGTGAGAAAGTTGCCACCAAATTAGTGCCATAATGCACTATAGTTTAAGCAACTAAATTTTCTCCCGCGCTATAGCAACTGTGCAAAAATATTAAAGATATCATTCATATTTTAAAATTCAAGATTTAGTTAGTTAAAGTCCCAAAATTAAAGATTGGCTAATAAAATCAAATAAAATCCAATTAAACTCAATTAGCCTTAAATATTTAAAAGTCTAAATTAAAAGAATAAAAATATACAAATTTGTTATTTATCAGTCTAATTTCTGAACTATGATTCCTCCTATCACACACAATCAAGGTCTTGTTACTCCAACACTACACCAAACATATGCTCTAGAGCGTAAATCTCTAACACCATACTCGTATGGGCACTTAGGAGAGAATCTCCAACACTGTACTGATATAGGCACACAAGAGAGAAATTCTCCAACACCGTACCTTGTCGAGTTTTTAGAAAAATATACTCCATATAGTCTTTTACTACTCCTCCTTGCGTGTGAACTCTCATCTCTAACATGATCATGCTCACATTTGTCAAATACAAATCACATGTTTGAAATTTAAGGCACATATACATTTATATACTTATATTTGTACAACTCCCATTCTTTAAAAGTCATTTTTGTACTAACACACATATAATTGAAAATATCTTAATTCACAATATGCCATTTTCACAAACATGCAACAATTCAAAAATACATATGTTGTATTACATAATTACTTATAAATAGTTAAGCAAATTAATCAAGCAAAGTGAATCATTCGATTACCTTAACCCTTCTATCACTAAAAAAGTTACTTGTGGTATTCTCTTTAGTACTTAACGTCACAACTCGCTTTCACTACCTCAGGTTCAGCACATAGTATGTCAACCTACACATTTTAACTCTATTAGTCAATTTCTAAATTGATCACAAAGTACTAATTATCACCGTTATTCATAACTAACCATTAATTTCCTTTCACTTAACCATCCTAAGTCTTAACCACTCTCTCTAGCCTCTATATCACTTCTATTAGCCTCAACACCTCTTACACCAAATTTTCACACCCTTTTCAATTTACTCATTTCACAACAACAAAACAACGTTTTTCTTGCAGCATAAATCTGTAAGAAATCACTTAAATTTTTATGAGAAATAATTTTCTCATAGCATTTCTCATGCCAAAAGGTTTGTCATTAAACCTATCGAAGGAAAAACATTTCACACAAATGGAACTGTGAAGAACCATTTCTCATACCCTTATACATAAGAAGT